TGATATCCTGTTATCCCAGCTCCATTTGTGGAAGACACTATTCTTTCACCATTGACTAGTCTTGGCATCCTTGACAAAAATCAATTGCTCATAAATGTAGGTGTTTATTTCTAGACTCTCACTTCTCTTCCACTGACCCATATGTCTATCCTTATGCTAGTACAGTACCACAGAGTCTTGATTACTATCGCTTGCGGTAAGTTTTGATATAAGGAAGTATTTCTTGAAAAAGAACAAAGAGGCTATTAGGGTTTTGGGTATTAGGAGCCCCTTGCAATTCCATATGAATTTATTTATTTTATTTAATTAATTTATTTATTTACTTCAGACAAAGTCTCACTCTGTTACCAGGCTGGAATGCAGTGTTGTGATCTTGGCTCACTGCAACCTCCATCTCCTGGGTTCAAGGGATTCTCCTGCCTCAACCTTCCAAGTAGCTGGGACTACAGGCACCCGCCACCACGCCTGGCTAACTTTTGTATTTTTAGTAGAGACGGGGTTTCACCATGTTGGCCAGGCTGGTCTCGAACTCCTGACTTCAAGTGATCTACCTTCCTCAGCCTCCCAAAATGCTGGGATTATAGGCGTGAGCCACCGCACCCGGCCAATTCCATACGATTTTTAACATGAGTTTTTCCACTTCTGCAAAAAAATTAAAAGGTTGTTGGGATTTTGATAGGGATTATGCTGGTAGATACTTTGGGGGTTGTTTTGCTGTCTTAAATCTCCCCTAAATTTATCTAGCAGAATAGACAGAGCAAACGCACAGAAAGGCAGCAGTGGCAGGCAGCACACTAACAGAAATGCAGTGTAACTCATCTCGAATAACTTTTGCATACTTATACATGTAAAAACAGTTATTTCCTCTCCTGATTTCACCAATTTTAGCAGTCTAGAAAATGTGAATATACAACAGTAAATAAAAGTTAACACGACCAAAGAACTGAGGAGACAATTCTTTCCTTGTTCAACCTGCCATCTCCCCAACCCCTGTCAAGATAAATGAGCGGACGGTGGACAGGTTATGGCTTTACAATTTATAATCAAACCACAGACCTGGGATAAGGGCCCTTCAATTCATCCTCCGAACTGTGTAAAACATTAACTCTGTGGGAGATGCCAGAAGCTTTTAAAAAGAAAATATTCCAGGAGGGTAAGGACATTATAATCACAGTATTTTCAACCTTTGCCTTTTTCCCCTGAACCCCTAAATTACTGACTCCTATGAACTGGGAAAACAGCACATCTATTTGGAGTAACACAATTTTTTCATGTACTTCTGCATCCATTTTCTCTTTCAGATAAACCTTGTAAAGTTAACCAAACACAAGGACTATCTGCACCTTTTAATATCTGACATCATCTTTCATCTCCCCGGTTGTTTTGACAGTGCAGTGGGTTTCTGCCTCAAATGCTGACAGGGAACGCACAATACTATTCCTACCGAAATAACATCCATCTAGTAACACTGTTTCTCAACACTGCCCCTCAACTTAGTCACACTGGGTGACTTCTGACTAACAGCATGAACCCTAGGGCTTCTGCTAGAGTTAACAGTCACAATAGGGTCCAGGACAAGGCAGCTCCCATTGTTCACCTTGGGCCCCAAGAAGCAGCTGCCCCAGTTATGGATGGCTTTGTTCCTTGAAGGGAGGAATTTATGTAGAATTCAAAATTCCATGCACCACCCTCACCCAGGTCTTGGCATCTCTCCTATACTTAGCCTACAGTGTTCAGCTGGTGCTGGTTAAATGCAGTGCTTCACAATCTTGAGAACATCAGAATCATCTGTGAAACTTTCGAAAGACACAGGTTCAAAGATTTATTCAGTAGGCCTAAGAATAGTGTCCCTGAATTTCCAATTAAAAAAAAAATTCCACAGGTGACTCCGTTGAGAATCTCAGGTTTAAGAAAACTCTCTTCTCTAAACCACACTTCAACTAATTTATTTTACGTAAATAAGTAATAGAGCCAGATTTGGGGTTGGGGGAGGGAGGTAGAAGAGACTTTCTTCACTAGGCCTCTAAGAGATTTAAATCCTAAATAGGAAACAGGCACTTCATTTTCAGTCTGACTGGAAAAAAATAATTTCTACCATTACAGCTATCCTTCATATCATCCCAGCCACATCCATGTTTATTAGCTGTTTAAAAATTTTGTCTGTATTTTATGATATTTTGAAATCTTAAAAATCTTGCTGGCAGGGAGACTGCCTCTCCCAGGGCTAATTTCTCAACCACCCCTTTTATCTAACTCTCACACACCAAGCCAGTATTTCTCCTGCCCTAAATCATCCATGGCCAGGTACCAAGCAACTAGAGACCACCCAAAGGCAAAGCCTGATGGAATTATTTAAATTATCCAATCCTAAAATGTTTACTCCGCCCTGACTTGCTATTCCTGAGGAACCCCATAAAGGCTCTGGCCTAGACTTTCTCCTTGTTCCTACCTTTTCCTTCTAACCAAAAGGTGATACCTCCCTTGTGGCTCTGAATGTGGTGGCATGCCTCCTTTTCTTGAGAAATGTAAGTAGGAAATGGTTTCAGGCCAGGCGTGGTAGCTCACGCCAGTAATCCCAGCCCTTTGGGAGGTCCAGGCAGGAAGATCGCCTGAGGTCAGAAGTTCGAGACCAGCCTGCCCATCATGGTGAAACCCCATCTCTACTAAAAATACAAAAAATTATGCTGGGTGCGGTGGCTCACGCCTGTAATCCCAGCACTCTGGGAGGCCAAGGCAGGCAAATCACGAGGTCAGGAGATCAAGACCGTCCTGGCTAACACAGTGAAACCCTGTCTCTACTAAAAATACAAAAAATTAGCCGGGCATGGTGGTGGGCACCTGTATTCCCAGGTATTCGGGAGGCTGCGGCAGGAGAATGGTGTGAACCCAGGAGGCGGAGCTTGCAGTGAGCCGAGATTGCACCAGTGCATTCCAGTCTGGGAGACAGAGCTAGACTTTGTCTCAAAAAAAAAAAAAAAAAAAAAAATTAGCCGGGTGCGGTTGTGGGCGCCTGTAATCCCAGCTATATGGGAGGCTGAAGCAGGAGAATCGTTTCGGGGAGGTGGAGGTTGCACACACCACTGCGATCCAGCCTGGGCAACACGAGCCCAACTCCGTCGAGAAGCAAGGGAAGGAAGGGAAGGAAGGGAAGGAAGGGGAGGAAGGGGAGGCGAGGAGGAGAGGAGGAGGGGAGGATATAATGGGTTTTGATAGGGAGGTGTAGGTGATAATATGGGGTAGGAGGTGGAGGAGGGGATGTGTATGTTGTGATAAGGATGTGGTATGGAGGGGAGGTAAAAAGGGTGGAGGATAGGAAAGGTGAGGAAGGAATTATTTCAACAGCACTAGCCTCTCCACGTTGTCACTCAGTCTCCTCTATAAAGTCCCAAGACACCCTGCCCTACCCATGCCTCTGGGCTGCTTATCATTCTTATTCTGTCTACTTTATCCAACTGGAAGCCATACTACAAACTTAGATTTGCAAGCCAGAGAGCAAGTAAACACCTCCTACATCCTTCATCAAGGAAAACCTCTTGGAAGGTTTTGAAGCTCAACATTCAGAATTAAATGTAGTCTTACCCAGTAATTCCACTCCTAGAACACAAAAACTTGTGCTAAGAACACCAATGTTCATAGTAGCATTATTTCTAACAGCCAAAAATAAAACATCCATATGCCCATCACCTGATAAACGGATAAACAAAACATGGTCTATCCATACACGTGATTATGTAGCCATGAAAAGGCATGAAGTACTGATTCATGCTACAAGGATGAACCTTGAAAACATGCTTAATAAAAGCCCAGCAGAGAAGGCGAAGTATCACATCATTCCATTTACACAAAACTTACTGAACAGGCAAAACCACAGAGACAGAAAGCCGATTAGTGATTGCCAGGAGATGGGGTCGAGGGAATTGGGGGGTGACTACTAATGGGTATGGCAGGTTCCATTTGGGGTTTTACAACATTCTGGAATTAGCGATGATGGCTGCAAATCCTGTGAATGTACTGAAAACCACTGAAAGTATACTTCAAGTGTGAATTTTATAATATTTGTACCTTTTAAAAAACATATTGTTTGCCCCGCAAACTGATTCCTTTACACTTCTCCTGTGTTCATTATTTCAGTGACTGGAAGCACACTACTCAGATGCTAAGGCCAGAAACCGGCAAATCGTTAACAATTGGGTCATGACTATGCTCGATATTTCTCCATGCTTTTCGCTCCACTTCCTAATTCGGGCCGCCCCCACTTTTCATCTAGATTATCTAATAGCCTCCAAATGGGTGTCCTGGCCTCATCTGTTCTCACTGTAATTAGGCCTTTAAAAACACAATCTTACGCCGGGCGTGGCGGCACACACCTGTAATCTCAGCGCTTTGGGAAGCCCAGGCGGGAGGATCTCTTGAGGCCAGGGTTCGAGACCAGCCTGGGCAACATAGTGAGACCTCCCGTCTCTACTTTAAAAAAAAAAAAAGCCAGGAGCGGTGGCTCACGCCTGTAATCCCAACACTTTGGGAGGCCAAGGCGGGCGGATCACCTGAGGTCAGGAGTTGGAGACAAGCCTGGGCAACACGGTGAAAGCCAGTCTCTACTAAAAACACCGCCTATAATCCCAGCTACTTGGGAAGGTAAGGCACAAGAATCGCTCGAATCCGGGAGACAGAGGTTGCAGTGAGCCGAGATAGCACCACTGCACCCCAGCCTGGGCAACAAGAGCAAAACTCGTCTCAAAAAATAAACAAACAAACAACAAAAAAAAACCTTCAATGGCTCCCGACGACCCCAAGTTGAAGCTCAAAGCCTTAATACGATGTGTAAAGTCCCTCAAATGCCAAGCCGTGGCAAACCTCTGCCACCTTTCCCTCAGGCGCTAGCTGGCTTCACCCTAGCCCTGCTCGGGCATCCCCTCCAGGCCGCTGCAGCCCGGTATAATCCCCTCTTCACGTAGCTAACCCTCCCCGACCTCCAGGCCTCGACTCTCACGCCACCCCACCTGAGAGGAAGATTCCCGGACCCCCAGGCCAGATTCGGTGCCTCTCCCGGTTCCCCTCACTCTGTCCACTCTCCGCTCCACAGGCAGGTATGCCCAGAGGGGGCCGCCATTGTATCCGCGAACATTTCCTGAGCGAGCTGGGGAGGAACCAGACTTTACCTCAATGCTGCCACAGTGCCCTAAACTTGCCCTAACTCTTTATCAAAACTAATAGACTCCACCTGCGGCAAGCGCCGCTTCCGCCTCGCCCCGCCTCCTTCCGACCGGAAGCGCTGGCCGCCGCGCGCCGCGCCCGGAGCCGCAGAGGAAGACGGGAAGTGAGGCTGCCGCACCACCGCGCGCGCCCGCTCTGCGCCTGCGCGCAGGCAATTCTCCGCGGGGGCGCGGGCGGCGCATGCGCAGGCGCGTGAGTCTCCGTTAAGAAGGTGCCGCGGCGGCGCCGGAGGTAGGAGGAGCCGGGCTGTGGGGTTGGGAGTCTGCACCCGGGAGGTGGAGGTCCTGTCACCTCGAGCCGTTCTCGCTCTCCTTAGGGAGAAGAGCCTTTCTCTCACGTCTCCCTCGCTGACTCCGTGGCGTCTGCAGGCCCGCAGCCCCGACGGAGAGGCAGGAGCCGCGCTCGGGTGGAGAGGGGCCGGGGCCCACCTGGAGGGAGGAGGGTGGCTGATCTGTATCCCCACGGCGGTCTCGGTCCGGGCCAGTCCGGGGATCGGGGTTCTCCGTCTGACTTTAGAGCCGTTAGAGTCTTTGGCAGCCCTTTTCCCAGGCAGGGAATCCCTCAGCCCCTTTCCGTAGGTCGCCGGGTTGGGGTAAGCGGGAGGGTCCGCCCCTCGCCGATCCATTCATTCATCCCGCTCCTGCTGTGAGCCGAGCGCTGCGGTAGGTAAGAAGCGAGGAGGCACAAGTCCCCTTCCCTCTGGAAACCTGTAGGTTTGCAGGATCCGTTATGTCATTCAGTAAATATTGATTGTGCACCTACAGGAGGAGATAGACTGTTGTTAGGTTCTTATCTACAGAGATGCAGAGATCAACACAGTTGTGGAGGGTGGCATTTGTTCCAGCCGCTCCCCACATCCAACAGGATAAAATTCACTTTCCCTAGCCTGACCTTCCAGGCCCTTGTGAGCCGATCCCTGCCTCTCCCCGCAGCCTTTTCTCCTACACCTTTCTGTCTACTCCCATTATACCAAACTCTTTGCAATTCATGAATTCAACAAGTAGTTGTCGAGCACTTACTTCAAGTCAGGCACCGGATCAGCCAAAGAGGATGCAAAGTAAAATAGATGGATCTCTACCCTCCTGAAGTGTTGAGCTTAATGGGGGACAGATAATAAGCCGATTAATAAAAATACAAGAGGGGATAATTTGGAACGACGCTTCCTGGGTTTGATCCTAGCCCTGCCACTTTGAAAGCTGTTCCTGAACTAGCTTTGAGCCAGTTCCTTATTCTGCTTGCGCGTTTCCTTGCTGTAAAGAGAGGATGACAGGAGATTCCACCATAGAGGTTTCTTGTAAGGATTAAATGAGTTTGACTTGAAAAACAATTGGAACAGTGCTCGGCACACAGTAAGCATTCAATAGATATTATCTGTTTCATATGATTATAACCTATGACAGATGCCATTGTGAAAACGGTGGACGATGATAGGGATGCGGATGGGGAGGGTCCATAAAGGATTAGAGGACACTTCTCTGAGGGGAAGACACAGAAGAGAATGAGCCAGCCATACAAAGTAGATTCTAGGTAGGGGTATTTTCAGCTCTGGAAAACAAAATGATTAATCAGATTCCTTGGACAGTGGAGATTGCATTATTGTATTTGAAAGGAATAACTTTCTGCCATTGGGTCATTCAGTTTTGATTTTTGAACCACACTAAGCGTGCGCCAAAGTAAATAGCCATGCCCACAAGGCCCAACCTTTGTATAGAGGCGATATTCTAGTCATCCAGGTTTGGAGAGCCTTGCTGGGTTGAGAAGATAAGGAAAAGTGACCTTTTGTCTCCTGAGTGTTCATGAGAAGATAGTTTCTCTTCCTGTCTCTTACGTTCCAGTATTTACAGAAACAGCCTCTTTAACAGCCAGGGGTCTTAAATCAGTGTAGGAGATAGTTTTCCTAGATTTGGGGATCATCCTGTTTCTATAGTGACTGCCTTTCATGGAGTTTGCTCCCTAAATTTCAGTTAAGAAAACACTCTCCCAAGATGCACACATGTTAATACCTGTGGAAGAATATGCTTTGACAGGTTTCTAGATCCTTCTGTTATGATGTCTGATAGGACCGTTAGACCATATTAACCAGGCTGGACTGAGAATTTGACAGTATTGTTACTCTGAAGACTTTTCCCTCACCCCACATGCCCTTGTCCCGCCCTGGAAGAACTGGCATAAAATGACAATGTCTGATTACACTTACATGCTTTTGGTTTTCCACAGATGTGAAATTAAGTGAACCATATATGTTTCATCATCGCGGAGATCTTGGAGAATTATCTGAGCACCAGGTTCATATGTATTCAATCTAGACGCATCTATTGGACAACAAAACACTCTTTATCAATTGTGGATTTTATTTATTTATTATTATTATTTTTTGAGACAGAGTTTTGCTCTCATTGCCCAGGTTGGAGTGCAGTGGCACGATCTCAACTCATTGCAATCTCCGTCTCCCAGGTTCAAGGGATTCTCTTGCCTCTGCCTCCCGAATAGCTGGGATTACAGGCGTCTGCCAGCACACCTGGCCAATTTTTTGTATTTTCAGTTGAAACGAGGTTTCACCATATTGGCCAGGCTGGTCTCGAACTTCTGACCTCAGATGATCCACCCCCATTGTCCTCCAAAAGTGCTGGGATTACAAGCGTGAGCCAACGCACCCAGCCCGGTTGTGGACTTTAACAGAGGGAAGCTTTAAACATGTTTAACCACAGGCCCAATTTGAACAATGATACTTCAGTCATTATAGAGAGGAAAACAGTACTTTTTGTTCAATTGTGTGAAGTCTCCAAGTATCTAACTGAGAAGTAGAGAGGAAGCCTAATGAAAGTGTGAGTGTGAATGAGGCTCAGCAAGGCTTCTACTTGGGTTCACTTTCTCATCTGTCTGCATGTCCCGGGATTGACGCTCGCTCCTCTGAAGACCAGCCTGAAAGCCTTAAAACTGGTCAGTGATGGATGAGTCTGATGAGGACTTTAAAGAACTCTGCGCTAGCTTTTTCCAAAGGGTGAAAAAACATGGAATCAAGGAAGTGTCAGGAGAAAGGAAGACACAAAACGCCTCCTCAAACGGCACTCAGGTAAGACGCAAATTGAAAAGGACCAAACAAACTGCTACCAAGACCAAAACCCTTCAAGGCCCTGCAGAGAAGAAACCTCCATCTGGCAGCCAGGCCCCTAGGACTAAAAAGCAAGGGGTAACCAAATGGCAAGCAAGTGAACCGGCCCTCTCTGTGAATGGGGAGGCGGGTGTGCTCGCCTCTGCTCCAGATCAGCCTGTGCTCTGGGAAACAGCACAAAACACCCAGACGGGTAACCGGCAAGAACCATCGCCAAACCTTTCCAGAGAGGAAACCAGAGGTAATTTGTACTCTTTTAAACTGGGGGCTGGAAAACTTTATGGAAAGAGCCAGATTGTAAATATTTTGGCTTTGTAGGCCATACAGACTCTGTCACAATTCTGCTGTCATAGTAAGAAAGCAGGCGTGAACAATATGTAAATGAACAGGCATGGCCACATGCCAGTAAAGGTTTATTTACAAAAATAGGCAGCCAGCCACATGACTGTAGTTTGCTAACTCTTGGTTTATTTTTATTTATTTATTTATTTTTAAAAATTTTTAAGCTTAAAAAAAAATTCAGAGCTGGAGGTCTCACTATGTTGCCCAGGCTGGTCTTGAACTCCTGGGCTCAAGCAATCCTCATGCCTCAGCCTCTCAAAGTGCTGGGATTACAGGCGTGAGCCACTGCGCCCAGTTGACTCCTGGTTTAAACAACAGTCAAGAAAAACATAACCCCTGTGTGAATTGCTCACATGGCTATGTTTGGAGTCCTCTGCTCTTTCAGAATTGCCTATCAAATTCTGTTATGTGGTTGACATGAGTTACACAAACAACACAATAATGTTGCTTCTCTTGTTTTCTTGAATTTATTCCAAAGTGGGTAAGTTGGTCTGGGTCAGCCAATTTGGAGAGGCTGCTGAGAGGGCCGCATGAGGGCGCTGTGTGGGTTCAAGTCCCAGGAGAATCTTCAGGTTTTTTGTTTCTCTCTCAGAAGACCTTTTTTTTTTGAGACGGAGTCTGGCGCGCGGAGTCTCGCGCTGTCACCCGGCCTGGTGTGCAGTGGCCGGATCTCAGCTCACTGCAAGCTCCGCCTCCCGGGTTCCCGCCATTCTCCTGGCTCAGCCTCCCGAGTAGCTGGGACTACAGGCACCTGCCACCTCGCCCGGCTAGTTTTTTTTTGTATTTTTTAGTAGAGACGGGGTTTCACTGTGTTAGCCAGGATGGTCTCAATCTCCTGACCTCATTATCCGCCCGTCTCGGCCTCCCAAAGTGCTGGGATTACAGACTTGAGCCACCGCGCCCGGCCAGAAGACCTTTTAATCTTTTCCTTTGTTATTGTTACTGATTTAGTTCCTTACTTAGTTTTTAGAGACTGGGTCTTGGTCTGTCACCCAGGCTGGAGTGCAGGTCGCTATCATAGCTCACTGCAGCCTTGACCTCCCAGGTTCAAGCAGTCCTCTCTGCCTCAGCCTCCCGCGTAGCTGGGACCACAGGCACCCACCACCGCACCTGGATAATTTTTTAACGGTTTGTTTAAAGCAGTTTTCTTGCCCTGTTGCCCTTGATATACTGAGCTGTATGCTTAGTACACATTCTTCATGCAAAACTAAAAACCAGCCTTGCATGTATAATACACCATGGGCTCTCTGAGCTCCTGAGTTCTGTTTCTCAATTTTCCATGCCCTGACTTCCTGATCTTAATAACCTCTCGGTAGAGTGGTTAGAGTGCTGGTAGAGTCTCAGGCCGCAGAGACTGCTGAAAGGCGTCAACAGTGTTGCCTCACCAACTTTACTGGTCTCTCGTGCTCTTTTCCAGTCAGATGAAATCTATGCGTGATTCCCCCAAAACACATATCCATGCGCACACCTGCAGAACTGGCATACAACTTCTTGGGGTTCCTGGATCCCCACTGAAGATCTGTAGATCCCAAGTTAAAGAAGAACTGATCTAGGACATAAACCTTTGTC